GGGGGATAAATTTTCAGTTTGCCCAATATTTTTTTCCGCCTCATGACACTGTTCGATTTTTTTTTGTCAGTCAAAGGACTTGCACGATATTTTTTTGTATGCATGTATATATACATTTTTTGGTACTTTTTTGGTATAAAATAGGTCATTGGACACGTATTGGTGCATGTAAGCCATTGTGTAACCTAAATAATGAGAGGAGCATGTCATGCAGTATTCTAAAAATGGTTGTTCTTTATTTCTTTACTCCGACTCATATGACGAACATGTACTTAAAAAAAATGCAAATTACAATTATATACAAACCAAAATAGGTGAACATATGGGACACAAAAAAGACGAGGATATAAGAGCGAGAGATTGAAATCAGTTGAGTAGGAAAGCCAACCCTGTACGCGTTTTGACCTAACAGTCTTCTTCAGCAAAGTTTTTTAAAGGAGGTGTAGATAGAATTTGCAGAGGAGAAGGAAGGAGAGTTGGAGTTTGGAAAATAATGTCAACTTGGATCCTCTATGTAGCAAAATCCAGAAGTAGCTATATAATTATATAGCTAACAATTATGGCCGTATCGTATCATTTATTTACTAATCTCTATTTGTATTTTAGTTATTATTGTTTTTTGTTTTTTTTTGTTTTTTAAAAAATCAAACCGCAGATCAAACCTACCCTTGTTCCAGAGGCTCTTTGCGAGGCGAAAGAAACGAAAGGCGAGAAGGAAGAGCCTCTGGTCACATCGATTGCAAATCCCACTTCCACACTTGATTAGGTTCAGAATTTGAATCTCACATGTGATTAACCATTTGTAAAAACATGTCAAACCAGTTTTCAAAAAAAACGCATTACTGTAAGCTAATTATATAGTTAGTGTGGAAATGGGATTTGCAACCGACGTGACCGTGAGAAGCTCTCCCTTCTCGCCTCTCGTTTCTTTCGCCTCGCAAAGACTACCAAAGAGCCTCTGGAACCTTGTTTCTTTAGTGTTTTTACGCTCACAATTTTAGGCATTTCCAACATAGAAGTGTTTTTTTTGGAATAAGAACGTGAAAGTAGAAATAAAATCTTTGTTGCAGCAGTTTAATTTCGCCGAACAAATATACTTGTTTTATATGCATATCTTTTTCGAAGTGAGATATCCAATGCAACTTCACCTTCTTTAAATTCGTACTTGCACTATTTTTGACTCCATAAAAACTACTTTTATCCCTGGAGAAACTTTTCTTTACTATAAAAATAAGCTTGAATTATGACGGTGATATAGGCTGATTACTGGAAACAGTAATCAGTACTCGGTAGTGTACTTGTTGTATATGAACAGAAGTCTAAAATGAATTCAACATCCATCAACAAAAAGGAGTCGCGCTCATTACTACTCTGTACAAGATAGACAATTAATTTAATTCACTAGAAACCCGTTCTACAATATAAACTAGAAATCGGCCAAAAAATTGTCACGAAATATTGCAATGAAAATAGGGTCTCTGAACTACCGATTTCACCGAACGGTCAAGTTTCTCTGCAAAGATCGCCCCTTTGGCCAATTTTTATCCACTAGATCAAAAGTAGGGCAAAGTCAGAGCGGTATATTGACGGATTTCGTTTGCAGAAACTTGCAAGGCTAAATCACACTTCACAATACCGAAAAATGAGTGCAGTCCGCGGAAGTCAACATAATGCTGTGTTGTATTCACAGGTAAATTATCTTCAACAACAATTTGGCAACAAATTAATTTCATTTAATGCAGAAACAAAGCACAGGAATAACGTTCTAGACATGGGATGTGGAACAGGTGAAGTCACGACCTTTTGTGTCTCCCGAAAGACGTTACTGGCTCCAATATACGAAATATTTGCCCATAATTTACCCAATTTCTTTGTTCAGCAATGTTTATAAAGTGGCGTGAATCCAAGTGATCTGAAACATGGAAAGAGACTGGCACTAGCTATAGTTGCTAAAAAACAACCTTGTAAAGGTTGTTTTTCATTAGGCCGTGTTACTAAATACAAATTAAAACTCGAAATACTATTATATAAACTAATATTATAAAAATATTAAAAGATACTAAGAAATGTTTTGGTCGAAGCGATACGTTAAATATATATATTACAAATGAATTAAGTAGATTTAAATTTTTTACTATTATAGTTCCAGTCTTTAGCAGCAGCATATCCGAATGTCCTTAAGCTTTTCATTGAATTTGTTTTAGGCTTCGACAACATCAGCATCTTGTTATTACTTCTTAAATTCTATTTATCAGAATTTGAGATTTTAAACATAGTTGAAACGTTTTCAGGACATTGGTTTGAAAGGGCTTTGGCCACATATGCTAATTTTTACTCCTTCCTTCTCTCTTCGAGTGTTCTCCAATTTAATTTCTTTAAAATATCCGTGGAGCGAATTTCATACGTATCACCTGTAATTACTCTAGCTGCACGGTTTTGTAGTCTCTGTAGCTCTTCTTTTGAACCTTCGCCACAGTTTCCCCAAACCATGGAGCAGTAATCAAAACTCGGTTGCACTAAAGCCTGATAAATCTATTTAAGAGTTTCAAGAG